AATTTATGGTAAAAAATAGACTTGTTTGATCTTAAAATTTGAAATGTGTCATATAAATTGAGCCGGAAGGAGTAGTACTATTTTTTATGGAAAAACTACCTAACTAGACATACATCTCTACCATATAGACTAATATTACCTCTAATTTCAAACAATTATATTTATTATCACTTTTAATATTTTATACCATATATTTTTTTTAAATATAATTAAATACACAAATCCCTTAAAACTAGGATTGATTAATTATCTTTACATTTAAACACCAAAATTAATGGTCCAATTACAATTAATATTTTTTTTCTTTCTCATCAAGTTTCCCTCTGTCATCTCTCTAGAATTTGGTAAAATTACTTTTATTATGTATCTAGTTTAATTTTCATATGTATCTAATTGTAATTTTAATGTATCTAAACTTTATGAATTGTATTTGATTTTAGTCCGCCTAGATTTTAATTGTCCTATGTATCCATTATTTTTTTTCTGTATCTCATGTAATATTTTTATGTATCCTATCTTTATGTTATTGTATCTAAACTTCCAATGTCTTGTATCTACTTTCTGTTAATGTACCTAAGTCATTAATGTCTTGTATCTGATATGCTATTAATGTATGTGCATATGACGGACTGGGAACCTAAATAAGCCACAAAAACATAAAAGTGACCAAAATAAGCCACTACTTTAGGAAGTAACTAAAATAGGCTTAGTGGAAGAAAAAATTCCACTTTATCTAATATTCTAAACGTTTTCCGTTAGTCTCATAACGTGTATATTTTAATATATAACGGAATTATTTTCTACACTTTATAAAGTGGAACTTTTTCTTACACTTTATAAAGTAGAACTTTTTCTTACACTTTATAAAGTAGAACTTTTTCTTACACTTTATAAAGTAGAACTTTTTCTTACACTTTATAAAGTAGAACTTTTTCTTACACTTTATAAAGTAGAACTTTTTCTTACACTTTATAAAGTAGAACTTTTTCTTACACTTTATAAAGTAGAACTTTTTCTTACACTTTATAAAGTAGAACTTTTTCTTACACTTTATAAAGTAGAACTTTTTCTTACACTTTATAAAGTAGAACTTTTTCTTACACTTTATAAAGTAGAACTTTTTCTTACACTTTATAAAGTAGAACTTTTTCTTACACTTTATAAAGTAGAACTTTTTCTTACACTTTATAAAGTAGAACTTTTTCTTACACTTTATAAAGTAGAACTTTTTCTTACACTTTATAAAGTAGAACTTTTTCTTACACTTTATAAAGTAGAACTTTTTCTTACACTTTATAAAGT